TGTTTTTCATGGAGTCTCTGCTTGCTAAGAGCTCTTGTCTTGGGATTCAGTGCTGTATTTCTTGTCAGGAAAGGTTGCTTTGTTTAGGTTGGAAGCTGTCTTGCCAGCTTGGCATTTCCAACTAGAGAAGCCAGTAAAGGCTGGCATGTCATTTGGATAGAGGTAGGCAGGAAACGGGTTTCACTTGGCATGTTAGTACAAGAGCCTGCCTTGTAGCACCTGTGTTCCAGAATGATGGATGGAACAGGGTACGTGTGTGACTTCAAGCATAGAAGCTTCTTAATAAAACATCGCTAGTGAGGTTTGGTTCAAAAACTCACTTACTGTACTGGAAGTGGCACCCTCAGACATGCTGCACTGCTCTATGCACATTAATTCCTCACTGGAAGCACTGCATCCAATTACTTGTCTTGCTGGGCGTGATCTAATGGGCAGGACTGAGTGACAGTGCCAGCTAGCTCACCTCCAGAGTAGTGTGAAGGTGACTACAAGTCTTCTAGTTGTGGAGCTAGTGTGCGTGGAGCAACTTAGTATATTTGAAGGCACTGCTGCCAGGCAATAAGCTTGAGATCTAGACGTGGCTGAAATGTACCTTTTTTGAAAGATGATAGATTTCATTAACACAGCAGCCCTACAAGAGGAACAATACAAGCAGATACTGTGAGGTAGATTTATGTATAGCAGACGTTCCCCAACTTGCAGGTGGTTCTCAGAAAGCTGGCTGGTCCCAGACTGCTGGCTCCTCTTTATTTACAGCTGCTCAATCTCATTAAGAGAAGCTAAGAAGTCATTAAGCAGCTCCTAATAGTGAGCTTCCTCATGCAAGCATGCGTTATAGCCACCATAAAGAGATTCTGCCGCCCTGAATGGGAATAGAAGTGATCTGCACTCTAAAGACTGGGAAAGAAGATGCCCATCATTTCTATGTGGCCTGCTCTATGGCAAGGTATGAGGAATCCTGATCCACAGTATGCAGCGTGTATTATTTTGTTTAAATCCATGCAAACATATGAAAATGTAATAGTCAAGATGCATCTGAATCTAATGGCTAGATTCAACAAACTCCAAACTTGGTGAGAGTTTGAAGATTCAAAACTAGATCCATCCAGATTTCACAACTTGTTGTTCCGAGCAGAGCCAGTTCAACTCCCAGGTCCAGATTTTTCATCTAGAGCTTAAGTCCATGTTATGCATTTAGGCTGTAGTGGTAAAATTCAGAACAGAGTATGGATTCCTAACAGCTTAAGAGCTTGACCTGATGCTGTAGTTCAATTTTGCAAGATGTTGCTTTATATTTTGCTTCAATTTGGGAGAGCTCTTAAGAGATTCCAGAACAAGCAGAGATGTGATCAGATCAAAGAGACAGGAAAGAATAGTAAAATATGTGCTTGTTGTTACAATAAGTGTTCGTGTGGATGAGAGAGAAGAGGGGTTGTAGAGGAATGAATGGGACCTGCAATGGTCTGGGACTGTGCTGGTATTTGGGGTTCTGATGGCTTTATCACAGCCATGAAGTTTGAGTGGTTTATGATAAGAAAACTGAGATAAATGTCCATCACCCCCCTTCACATCTTCTGTGGGATGTTCATTATAAACCAAACGGTTGACACATTTTCACAATAATTCTACAGTAATGAGGTACAACATAACTCCTTGAGCCAACCTTCCCTTGGTCTGGCCCTAAATCCAACTCTGTGCTAGGCCTCTTCAGCTTTGTTTTGTCTGAATAAAGTCTCATAACTCAGGAGTTGTCTACAGAATAGTTTCACCAGTCATACTGATATAACTTAACTATACTGGCATAAGTGAAATCAGCCTTTTAGGTCCTATGTGGGCACTCTTATTCTGCTATGAGTGAAATCTTTTGTTTTGAGCTAAAAAGGCCCTCTTACACTGGAATAAGTGTGTCCATATATAGAACTGTAGAACTACTGATTTAAATGCATACTTTAGCTTATATAAATTTCCCATATAAATACATCCTTAGCTTTGCAAGTTCTTAGCCTTTCTGACTTGGATCACCTTCTTCCCTTGTATACAGCCACTCAGTGCTTTGAGACTCCATCCAGTGACCATCTTCCTCCCAAACCTGGATGCTTCCTGCAGGCTTCTCTGCTCCCAAACGATTAGTCATTGTGCATTCTGACTTTTTCAAGTGAGGAGCATACCCAGGTCTCCAGCATCTGCTTGTGCTCGGCATGATGGACAAACAGTTGTCAAAGCTCATAAATCAAATGCACATAAGTAGTTTGACATGACCCACTGAGATCCCTCCCAGAGACATGTCTTTTCCTAACTGAATAGGTTTTCACTGTCACCATGATTTAGCTCCTCCCGTGCTTTTGCTCAGTTCAGCAGCACTTCACTGGACTTCCTTTGGGATAGCATCATCTCTTTACATTGTTGCTGCTTAGCCTTGCAATAGCCCCTGAAGATACCCTTAATGTTTAGAGCCCCTTTATGCTAGGCACTGTACGAGCATATTTATGTCTGAAGATAAAAGCACTAGGAGGAGTGAATTTAAGCAGTCTGAATTTGTCCCTACTTTGTGCGGTCAGATTTGAGGCTCTAGGTGTTGTTTTTCCATCCTAGCTTGGTCCACTGGGCTTGTGATTTACATCTCTTGATGTGCTCTGATAACCTACTGTCCTCCTTTCCTCCAGCTGAGCAGCATGTTCCCAAATTTCCCATCCTTGCTATTGCTGACATGACTTGCAAAGTCCCTTTCATTATCAGAAAGTTCCATTTCCTTGCTAAGCAAGACCATCTGATTTTTAAATCCTTTGGTGACTCATGTCATGTTCACTTAGGATATGTTTCATCAAGCACTTACTAGTTGTCTGTCTGCATTTAAATCTTAGTGGAGTTTTGGGACTGGACTTCAGGAACTTCTGAACTCTGATTCTGTTGTCCACTAGCTGTGTGTTTTGGGTAAGTCTCTCAGCATAAGAACATATGGGATGGGAAAGGGCTTCTTGTTCCATTAAGTCTGGTTCTCAGCATTCACAGCAACCATTTAATTCAGACTTTTATAAATCATATGCTCCAGGTGCTTACATACGCTACAAAGCACATTGCAAAATCCACAGCCCCTGCCATGCAACATACTACAGGTCAAAAGCAAGGGAGACAAAGGCCCCACCAAAGACTGTGTCTCATGCTCAGGAGAACACAAAACTCCACAAAGTCCCTGCCAGTCAGAGGTGGAGAAACATCCCTTCATGACTCCAGATCTGATGATCGGTTTGACCTTGAGCAAAAGACCAAGATCCTTCCCTTCCAGGCACTTAAAGTGGTTCTAGGTACCAGCAGGAATAGCAACTACATCCCTGTCAAAACTCCTATCATTAGCTGTGGCCAGTGCTTCAGAGAACGGTGAAAAAAAACAAGAAACAAACAGAAAAAACAGAAGCTTACCTCCCCCAAATGGGAACCTGTAGAGGGTGAAAGACCCTCTGCGTCTTGCTTTTCTTATCTGTAAAATAGGGGTACTAATACTTACCTGTTCACAAGGAGATTGAATCAGTTAGTTAATATTAATAAACACATGGTACCTAACAAATTAAATGAACTAATCTATTAGCTATGTATTAACTTAGCTTAGTATTAACTAGTTTATATTTCTCTTGTCAGAACCATTACTTTTTTTAAGAAATAGAAGACACCATCCCTTCTAGTGTACTGGTGCTACACCCAATGCATTGACGCTGCTTATGCTAGGGGAATGGGTAGGTTTTTGCAAAGTACTCATAATAGACTGAGGCTGTAGTGTTCAGTCTTCTGGCCCCATGGGCTGAATGAGTCATGTGGGCGCAGTCCCAGAGCCACATCCTGTGTATGGGACCTGATTCAGCATGGGGTTGATGCATGGGGTCAGTCCACAGATGCAGTCTGGCATGTTGGCCCAATGCCATGCACCCAGTCCAGCTACTCATGGACCTCACTGCATGCTGGAATGATCTAACATGGGGGGCCATGTCATCCGGCCTTCAGGGCTTCTCCTGGGTCCAGAACTTTGGTAGCAGGGGAGTGCCAATGAAGTACTGCTCCCCAAGCGCCATATTTCTAGACTGATGGGGATAGCTATAGGGCAATGACATGGCCTGGTGGGCCAGAGTTTGAGCACTACTGGACTGAGGTAAGAAACCAGCCTGGTGAGTTGAGTTCCAGATGTGGAATTTTGTGATCACATTGGCTACTAATGACATATCTGTCCCTTACACACACATATTTATCACCCATCTGCTTAATTCAGCACCTTATACATTCAACTCCTTCATCCAGATCTCCAATCTTATAATTTTTAGTAGGCCCTCCTTCCCCTCTCAAAGATAACTTGTTCTTCCTAATGTTTCTTGCTAACTCTCCACTGTCAGTTTTTCCTATTGCAATTATTCTGTTTAATGTCCTGGATGACTCATCAAACCTAGGTTTCTTTTATTATCCATTTTTATAGACACTTTTCTGTTTTGGTGATTTTTTTTTTTTTTTT